CTCGCCTCTCCCTCTCCCTCTCCCGAGGACAAGTTAGCAAGCTGGACCCTGAGGGAGAAGTTAAAGGCAGTCTCCATTGTCTCTGCCTCAACTCGGCCTTGGCATCACCACCCTCACGCTTCTCCAGCATCGCAAGCCAGAGTCACCCTCACCTCTAATATCTGGATCCTGCTGCTTCCAGACTTCATCCTCCCTCTTTTTCCATCAGTTCTCTACAACCTTCCGCCCCAGTCTGTGCCTGGGCCACTCTGCACCAAAGATCCTCCTTAAGAGTCTGGGGGCCCTTCATTGTTTACCTCTCCAAAATTCTAACCCCTAACAGCACCCTCCTCTACCAGTCTACTGGGTTCCACCTCCTTGGCTCACCCCAAAGTGATGACATTGCTGTTACCTTGGTAACAGATGCTTTGTGAGTGGGTAGGGGGAATGGACTAGTGAAAGCAAGCTGTGGCTTCAGGACACCATCAGAGCCCTGGGAGGTAGTGAGGTGGGGGGTGGGGACAAACTGGTACAGGGCCCTGGGAGGGTGCAGCCAGGGGCTGTGACTCCTGACCCCATGACTCTTGTCCACCCTATGGCCCCAGCCCCAAGAAGAAAAAAAAAAAAAAAAACAGAATAGAAGGGGCCCCTGGGTGGCTCAGGTCATGATCCTGGGGTCCTGGGATCAAGTCCCACTTTGGGCTCCTTGCTCAGTGAGGAGTCTGCTTCTCCCTCTTCCTCTGCCTCTCCCTGTACTTGGGCTGTCTCTCTCTCAAATAAACAAATAAAATCAAAGAAAGAAGAAAGAAAGAAAGAAAGAAAGAAAGAAAGAAAGAAAGAAAGAAAGAAAGAAAGAAAGAAAGAAAGAAAGAAAGAAAGAAGAAAGAAAGGAGAAAGAAAGAGAAAGAAAGAAAGAAAGAAAGAAAAAGAAAGAAAGAAAGAAAGAAAGAAAGAAAGAAAGAAAGAAAGAAAGAAAGAAAGAAAATAGGAGATCTCTTTCAAGAAGATGTCTTCATGGAAGAGAGGGAAATAACCCCAATGCCACTATCCCACTCACATGAGAACATGTCTCCTGGACAGCCTCAGCTTGGCTGGGGGGGGGGGGGTAGGGAATGCACACACTGGAGCCCATGTTGTTCCCCTCCAGGGAGCCTGGGGCACAGAGAGAGGGAACAGCTCACCCAGAGTGTGTTAGGGACAGTGCCACGGGCAGTGGGAGGGCGGCTCTATGCCAGTGTCCTGAGTTCCAGGGGTTGGTGGCAGCAGGGAGTAGTGGAAGGGCTCTCCTCCAGCCCCTGGGGACCTGGCTGTCCCAGATGCCACAGCCAGGAAGTGTGTCAGGCACTTGCGTAAGAGCCTTCTATATTTCCATAAAATCATAATTACCGATGCCTGCCATAGGCCTTTGTTCATTAGAGCAGTATCTGTCTCTGGGGCCCCGGTGGGCCAGCAGGGTGAGGTAGGAGAGACTGGGCAAGGCCAGGCCTCTTACCGTGTTCCCTGCATCCCCAGCCCCACCGAGCCTGGGCCCTCTTCCTCTCCCCAGCTGGGAGATGAGAACCGGACTTGAGCTCAACCATGACAGACTCCTTTACCCTAGGAGCTCCAATTCTAAAACTGGAGAGAGAGACCAGCCTCTCATGGCTTCAGCTTGGGCTGTCCTTGGCAACCCGTGGGGGCAGAGGCTTGAACTGAAGATGGGAGAAAATAGGTCGGTCCTTATGGAAGGAGAAGCAATCCCTGCCATCAGAGAATCTGAGTAGAGGAATCCCTGGGAGTCATTCAGGCCAGGGGTTCTTAGTCTTTTGGGGATCTTAGATTCTCTGAGGAGAAGGTGAAAGCTCTAGACTACCCCCCAGAAAATGCTTATTCTCCAACATTTTACATAGCTTCAGGGGATTCATGAACTCCCTGAAGCTCACCTACAAGCTCAAGATTAAGTATCTCTAAATAAATAAATAGGATAGATGATAGATAGATGGATAGATAGATGATAGATAAAAACTATTATGTCCTTACTCTGTCCACCTCTTTACATATGTTAACTCATTTAGTTCTCAAAAGAACACTAAGAGATATACAATTATTGCCCCCATTCTACTCCAACTCCCTATTTCAACCTAATCTACTACTCCAATTGTGCTAATCGAAAAAGAAGGAGGGATCCCTGGGTGGCGCAGCGGTTTGGCGCCTGCCTTTGCCCCAGGGCGCGATCCTGGAGACCCCGGATCGAGTCCCACGTCGGGCTCCCGGTGCATGGAGCCTGCTTCTCCCTCTGCCTGTGTCTCTGCCTCTCTCTCTCTGTGTGACTATCATAAATAAATAAACATTTAAAAAAAAAAAAAGAAAAAGAAGGAAAACAAAGTCCCTTCAGAGACTGATAGGTCTCTGCCCAAGGTCTCAGGACAGGAAGAAAAGTTCAGACCAGGATGAGAACCAGTCTTTCTTCATGTGCTGGATATTGTGTTGCCTGCAGATCTGGAGTCATCCGGTCCCTCCCTCTGTCCCCAAGCTCCCAAGAGCCTAGCACCCACTTTCACTCATTCCGCAGTCCCATTAAGAGGCACCAGCAAGTTCTATTATGACTTCAGGTCTAGGGAGCCCTCCTGGGTGTGACTGTTACCTACCCTTTTATAGCATCTTGCCCTTGGTTCTGCCCACTCCTCATCTCTGCCCTCTGACTCTGAGATGGGATCATGTTCCTTCTCCAGAAGCTAGCCTGGCTAACTCCTGCCCTGTCCCCAGTCACTGCAGTGGGAGTTGTCAGCACTGAAGCAATGACTCAGACTTAGTTCATGAAAGACTGCTCTGAAACACGAAGGCTGCAGGCCAGAAAGGACATCCAGAGGTCATGAGATGCAGCCCCCTGTCTCCTCCACATCTGCCCCATCTTGAGCTATTGATGCCTAAGCCAGATGGGCCCCAGGGCCCACCAACTTCCCTGGCTTTCCTGGGTCACCAGGAGCGCTGCTTCCCCTGGAAATTTTCCCCTAAGTCTAGTCAGAATCTCCTTTGGAGGTGGTTCCCACATGAATTAACAGGAAAGTGAAAGAGGAAGCCGTTTCTTCTCTCTACCCCAGGGAAAGCCCTGGGAAGGGACGGATCTCTCAGAAGAAAGTAGGAAAGAAAGAAAACAACTTGCCCTGTCATCTTCCCTGGGCGAAGGGGAGCTACCTCAGCCATTCTTCTCATGGTAAGGTAGACATTACCTCTGTGTTGCTAATGAAAAATTCAAGGCTTTAAATGGTTTGCTCCCTACCCAAGATCACACAATTAATTCATGATTATACGGGTATTAGAGTCTAAGAAACTCAGAATCTCTGCTCTTTGGGGGGAAACAGGCATACCTCCCCTCAGGAGGTCTCCAGCACAGAAAAGGCCCCTGTTCGCTCCCGCCCAGGCTAGATGGAGGGCCTGATGACCCTACCTCAGGGTGCATCAAGCACTCCTATGTCTGAGTGCCCAGGGAGGGATGTTGGGCTAATCTGGGCTGGGCCAGAGGGAAGATGGCAGCCCTCACCTCAGAGGGCATTGGCAGAAGGCTGGCTAATGAATGGGCCTTTGGGGAGACTGGTCTGAGGGCTGAGGCCAGGATCCTTCGAATCTCCTTTCAGGAAAGCTGGTGCTCAGAGTCAGTCTGCAGCTGATGTGAGTGGATCCGGAGGGGGAGGGGACTAAGCCCCCACAACCACAAACCCTCACTTCTGCCCGTGTCCTACTTCTGCTACTGGCAAATAAATCTCTACTCCTGCACACAGTAACCTGAGCAGTGCTCCAATGGTGAGCTCACTTTGGGAGGACAGAGATGGCATGAATGGCTATGTGCAAGGGCCGGCAGGAGAGAGGCCACAGGGCTCAGCCTCTGTTCCCTAGAGCTGCCATAAAGGCAGAACCTTCTCGAGTGCCACCGCACCCCCACCCCCTGCCATCGTATCACCCAGACTTCAATCCAGAAGTTTCTTCAACCACAGCAAAGGAAGGATTCCTTCAACCTCCAACCTACCTTCCTTTCTTTGGACAGGCCAAGAGATAAAGCTAGACTTTTGGTCAGGGCCAAAAGGGGCAGGGAGAAGGCTGGCGGTAAGGGAGGACTCGGGGAAATGGCAGGTAAGCAACATGCATAAAGAGGTACCTTTGGGCCAAGTGGACAGAGGGCAACCTGGAGAGTAAGAACCGTCTTCCCTCCACCTCTCCCAACCTCCCCCCTCCCCATCTAACTCTATTTGTAGTAGGATCTCTAGGAGGAGAATGTGTCTTGAAGAGTTTTGGGGACCTTAGGTATGGAGACTGAGGCCACTTCTCTGCTGAATTCCAAACACCAAGCCTGGAAAGGAAGACAGTTGTCTTGCTTTCCATCCACAAAGGAGGGACTGTCAGGCTTGGCCTTTGACGTTTGGTGTTCAATTGTCCTCTCTCTGCTTGAGGAGCAGAGTCCCCTCCTTGAGGACTATGAGGACATCCCCTTATAGTCCAGGGATGTGTATACTTGGAGTCCTCAAGGCAGAGGCGATCCAGTTAATGGGGCAGAAGGGTCCACATTCTTCCACTACTTCGCTCTCAGAAAGTCCTAACTTGGATCTGACTCTCAACTATCCTTCTGCAGATCCGACCTTTTCCTGTGCGTCTCAATCCCATACGGACTCTGATCTCCCAAGTCTCTCCACGACTTTGTCACGCCCCAACCCCCCCCCCCGCCACCCCCCCTCGGACCCGTTCCGGGTCTTTTGGTGTAAAACTACCCCCTCCCCACATCTTTCCCTTTCAGGCTCCTCCCCATCTGGTCGAGCCCCCCCCAGGCTCCGCCCAACTCGCCCTCCTGGCCACCACGGCAGCCAATAGCGGAGAACCTGATTTGCATAGCGGCGCGGGGGAGCCGCCGAGGGCAGGGGGAGGGACCAGGCGACCTCCTAAATCAAAGTTGGAAGGCGAGGACTGGGCGGAGGGGCCTCCGGGTGCGGGGCCGGGGCCGGCGGGGGGAGGGGAAGGGGATGGGGGGCGGGCGCAGAGGACGGCGGGGCCGGCCGGACACGGACTGCTCCGTCGCTCCCTCCCTCAGCTCATCCCCGCGTCCCCACTTCCCTCCTCCCCTCGCTCCGAGCAGCATCCTCTGCAGACCCTCGGTCCTCATTCCCGGGGTCGTCGGGCTCCCGCGGCTCCGTGTAACTACCCCTCTTCACTGGCCAGCCCGGCAACTTTCTCCGCCCGCTCCCGGGAGTGGGGGGGTCGCTTTGCCTGGGCGGATTTTTCCTGGGGTTCACTGGGGGGCAGTCTCTGGAGAAGGGCCTCAGGGTCCCAGGGAGACATCTGCCATCTGCCACCTGCCCCCGTCGGGTCTTGGCACCCTCTCTTCCCCTCTCCCCCAACCATGACCGAAATGAGCGAGAAGGAGAACGAACCGGATGACGCGGCCACCCACACGCCCCCGGGGACCGTCTCAGCCCTCCAGGAAACCAAGGTAACTCAGGAAGCGAGCGGCCCGGACCCCTGCCCGGTGCGCCCCCAGCCCTGGTTGCCTCCTCCCCGACGCGGTCACCACCGTGGGCTCGGGTGCCCTGGGGTCACGGCAACGGGACCCGCCAAAGGGACCCGCGCGATCCCTAAGGCTCTGCGCGGCGCCCGGGGCGAGTGGGTCCGCGACGAGGGGCCACGGGGAGCCCCCGGCACGCAGGCACGACACGCCCTTGCGCGCGAGGAGCGGACGCCTGCCGCGACCCTCCGGGGAGGTTGTAACTCGGCTTTGTTGGAGGGAATCGGCGCAGCGAAGGCGGAGGGAGTGTGTAGCGGTGTGTAGCGGGTGTGGGCCGGTGTACGCGCTGGTGTGTGCGTGCGAGGCGCACCCCTCCGCGCCCGCCCAGCCCCTGTCTGCAGCTCGGCCCGTAGCTCGCTCTCCGCCGGTCTCTCGGAAAATGTCTCCACAACCTGTTTGTCTGTCCGGGGGTCTCTCCGCTTCCTTTCGGCGTCTATGTGTGTTTACCCCGAGTCTCTCCGGATGACTCTCTCGGCCCCGCCGCAGCCCTGCATTCCCCCCGCCCCGCCAGGCTAGGCTCGGGGCCGGGAGGCCGCGGCCGGGGGTGCGCAGCTTCCCGGTGAGCGCTGGGGGCTGCGGCAGGCTGGCCACCGCGGGCGGGCCCCGGGGCACGGTGCTGCGGCTCCCGAGCAGGACGGGCAGCCCCACCCCCACCTCGGGAGCGGGACAGGGGGCGGGGCGGGGGGGTTGGGTGGGTGGAAGGAAAAAGAGAAGTCATCGTAATTAATGAATGTCATAATTAACCCTAATTATGTATGATTGTTACTCCTGCGGGAGTCACAATGAATAAATTATTCCCCAGTGAAGGCAGGCAGAGCCCAGACTCCCAGCGCTTTAGGGGTTCGGGGAGGCCACCGATTAAATTTAACGCCCACCCAACCTCTAATCTGTCCACTTCCTCCTCAAGTTCTAAACGCTCAAGGCTGACCCGCAAGAAGTTCTGCGGGGAGCAACCTGAGCTGAGCTGGCTGGGGATGGGGAGAGAAAAAAAGAGGCTGTGTCAAGGGCACTCCCTGCCTCCTCCCCAGACTCCAGGCCGAGGCCTCCTTCCCTCTCCCTTGCACCCTGGTGTTTTTTGTTCCCACCTGCTCCTGTAAGGAGGGGGGCACTGAAGACCAAAAAAATGGGTTGGGTCTTTGGCTCCTTCCTGGTGTGGAGTGCTCATCTATAGCTCTTTCCAATACCCCTCTTGCTCCTAATTCTGTCCAGGCCACCCCTCAGGATATGAGGTTAATTCAAGGTCAAGGTCATCTAGAGAGTGACCAGGAGTAGATCAGTAGGTACAAGATGGGGCCTGGCGGAGGCACCCCAGGGAGCTCCTCACCCCTAAACTAGAAGGACCCACTGGTCTCCATGTCGGTCTTCAGATCTGAACTTGACCTTCTTCTGCTCCCTTCTGAGAATGAGACTCTGGTTCTCTCAGAGCACAGAGTTAACTCCCCCTCTCAAAGATCCACATCTCAACTAGGAGTGAGGTCTTGGGGTGGGAGGATATTACCTGGAATATTTGTGTTGGCTTTTTTTAAAGCAGAGGGTCTCAGGAGCCGAGCCCCATCCTGAGCGCCAATATCCCTGGCCTTCCCAGTTGCCTTCTAGTCCCCCGGGACAGACAGACACATTTCCCTGCTTGCTTCCTAAGAGCATGGGGGTCTCCCAGGCCCCTGCCTTGCTTCCCACAGGAGGTCTGGCTGCCCGCCCCCCCACCCCCTTCTTAAGAGCTTTCTAAGAGCAGTCAGGAGCCAGGGCAGTGCTGCCTCAGCAAACCCACAGGCTGCAAGCTCAGCTGTGTGGGCAGGGGGAGGTCAGGCCTGGCAGATCTGTACCTCCCTCCTCCCAGCCCAAGGACTGTCCAGTGCTATCACCTCTGACCCTGAGCCATGGAGATCACAAGAGCAGGCCACTGGAGGGGGACTGCATACCTTGCCTTGCCCCTTCACCCTCCTCCCCTAAATCTCACCCTTGTGAAGGACTGTTTTAACAACAGAGGCTGGGCTGGGGATTCTGGGTGCAGGTAGTGCGAGTACCCAGGAAGGCAGAGGTGGGCAGGGAGAAGATTCAGGGCCCTGCCAGCCTCATTAGCTCTCCACACCTTAACCTGTCCCAAGGAAGCTTTGGTCTCCAGACTATAGGGCTTGGGGAGGGGGAAGGGGGAGTGATGATGGCCTACCAAACTCAGTTTGAGGCAGGTACAACAGAGGGGGCTGGTGTCTTTTAGATAGTGAAGCCAACATTCCAGGCTTATTAATCAGTGTTTGGGGCCCCCTGGAGGGGGCCCTTCTTGCCAGCCTAAGTCCAGCCTCCTGCCCACACCAAGATTGGATCATATCCCTGCACCCAAGCTACTCAGTGACCGCCTTGGTGTCATTACTGCCATCTCTGCGTCCCCATGCCATCCTACCACCGGGTGGTACCATCATTCCCTTTGGTGCCATCCTTGGGAAGACCCTGCCATGCCAACTCTGCCATCTGAGTCAGCTTGTGCCACATCCGCCACCACCCACTGCCAGCTGCCTAGTGCCCTTTCAGGAGCTGGAGGGAAGTGAGGAGATGCTGTGGGGAGTTGAGGAAATGAAGGGACCATCCAGTATATGGGGAGGTGGGGAGGAGACAGGCAGGCCAGGCCCAGCCTCTGGGAGGGGATTCAGAAGAACAGGCCTGGTGGTCCAGGTTCCAAGCCAGACAAGCTCCTGGTACATCTGGAGAGAACAGGATCCAGGTGGGGCAGCTTACCAGGGTCCATGGCAACTTCTCTCCATGGTTACTGGGGGCACTGAAAAGATAGCTGATGGCAGATAGGGAAAAACCCTCCGTGGGAAGAGAGGAGGAGGACCCTCTCCTCCCTGGGAGGAGTCCCAAGGGTACGAATACCTGGCCAGGCTGAGCCGAAATGAGGTTCGAATAGCCAAGCCAGATGTCTCTTGAGTGGACAGGCATCAAGCCATTTGGCAGAGGTGCCCCCATCTTGCTGTCTAGCCACAACCCTTGACATCTGCCAGCCATCCCAGGTGATAGGTTGTTCCTTCTTGCCTCTCTGCCCTCCTGGGATCTGGGGTGCACAGCAGAGCCCAGCAGTCGGTGAGCAGAAGTGGGGCTGCCCCAGTGCTGGGGAACATTCTGTTCCAGGGATCTCTGTACCCTGCAGAGGTGGCTCTTGGCACTGAGGCCAGGGGAAGACCAGGAAAGGGCAGAGGCTGGAGAGTAAGGAGGCTTAAAATCTCATCCTGTGGGAATTACTATAGAAATAACAGCCTTGGGGGGTGGGGGGAACATGACTGATGTCTTCAAGTGTTTGAAGGACTGCTGTATATAAGGAGTCGTCAAGGGAGGAACAGAGCCAAGGTAGGAACAGAGCCGATAGGCAGAAAGATCTCAGGGAGGCAGGTTTCAGGTCTATATAGGGAAGCACTTTTCAGCAATTGCAGCTGCCCAAAGATGGAGTGACTGTCCCAGGAGAGGGTGCGCTTCCTGCCACAAGAGGTGACCAACAGAGTCAGACAACTATCTAGAGGGGACATGGCAGAGGCGTTGTGGGATGATAGTATGGGCTGGGGACTACTCTGGATGGCCAGTCTTGCAGGTTCCTGCCAACCCTAAATGTCCTGATTGACCTGGTGGACAAGCCCACGGCGTAGCGGAGGGATGGGGGTCAGGGCTAAGGCAGAGCCCAGAGCAGCAGGACTTTCTTGGTTATTTGGGCTCAACAGTCAGAGCCACTGGTTCAGGTTGTGGCTCTGCCACTTACCAGCTGAGGACTCATCCTGTGTGGGTGACTTAACTCCTATGTGCACGTGAGCTCATCTGCAAAGTGGGGCAATGGTCATCGGTCATCACTGTCTCCGAGGGTAGTGCCAGGATTGATGAGGTGCTGCATCTGAAGCATTAGCTCCATCCCAATATTCTGGCAATGACAGCCCCTCATTATAGTGTGAAGTTTACCTTTTTTCTTTTCGGACCCAGAACCATGTATTGCCTAGAGGGCCTCTAGTCCAGTCTCTTTCTTCTTGGATGTGGAGGAACTGAGGCTCAGAGAGTGGAAGTGCAGTGACTTGCCCTCAGGCGGTAGGCGTAGCTTTGCGTCCACGCCCTGCACTTCCTCCCAGATCCCTCCGTGCTCCAAGCTCTGGCCCTGGGGCAGAACAGTGGGTGCTTCTCCCACCTCTCTGGGCCTGTGAGAGCCCCCAGAGCCACACTGGCCCATAGAATACATTTATGTTCTAATGAATCCTCCCTCTGGCTCTCCACCTCTGCCCTAACACCCAGATGTCTGGGGCCCAGGGCCCCACTTCTCGCAGACACACAAAGAAGCCCACAGTGCTGTGCAGGAAGCCGAGTTTGGAAGGAGCTGGGCAACTCAGTGTGCCAGACACCTCAAGGCTCTGGCCTCCCAGCTGGCACACAGGGGCCTGCCTCTTGCCCAAACGTCTCCCTCTCCCTCTCTGCTTCTTCTTCTGTTTTGCTGCCTGCTGGACTCCCTGGGGCCACACAGGCTGCTCCATGTGCCAGCTGAGAACCATGACCGAGTCTCCCTGCCCGAAGCCAGGCCTCTGGCCCCCTTTACCCATTACTTGTGGGAAGGAGTGGGCAGGGGTAAGGGGGCTCTCACGAGAGGCGAGGGAAGAGGTTCAAGGATCTGGGTAGAGATGTTTCCAGACCTCACTCTGGGTTGGAGTGAGCAATGGAAGTAACTCTGGCCTCCCTGCAGAATTGACCCTGTGTTATAGAACATGGGCTCCGCTTAAGACTGCAGCCACAGGACACCTGGGTGGCTTGGTGGTTTAGCGTCTGCCTTTGGCTCAGGGCATGATCCTGGATTTCCGGGATCTAGTCCCGCATCGGGCTTCCTGCATGGAGCCTTACTTCTCCTCCCTCTGTCTAGGTCTCTGCCTCTCTTCCTGTGTCTCTCATGAATAAATGAATAAAAAAAAAAATAAGTGGGGATTTGATTCAACTGTCCCTGACGTTAAGGGGTTCCAGTCTCCTGGGGAAGTAAGAAGTCAATGACAATGACAATGTAAACCAGATTGGATCTATAGCGGAAGTGAGTACTAGGTGCAGTGGGCCCCAGAGGAGGGAGTGGTTATGCTAAATGGAGTTCCTGCTGAAGAAGAGACAGCTTCCCAGAGGAGGAAATCACTGGAAACCCTGAAGGATAAAGAGGGTATTAAGTGGATCAGGCAAAGAAGAGGACAAACACATCAAAAAAGCTCAGAGAAATAAACACGGATGAGTTCAAGAATCCCCGTGTCTGGGCTGCAGGTGGATGGTGTGGGTCGGAAGGGAAGGCCTGGCCAAGCTGCTGAATCTCATGACCGGGGCAAGGGCCTTGGCTGTGTCCTGAGGAGCCAGGAAAAGTTTTGAGCAAGGCCAGGGATCACCTCGCCAGCAGCTGTATGGAGAGCAGGGGAAGATGGGCAAGGGGAGGCAAGGGGTTGTGGCGCTGAACTGGGACAGGGCTGTGGAGATGATGTGGTGGGCATGGGGGAGGGGCTGGAGAGAGATTTCTTTTAAAAATTTTTTTATGATTTTATTTATTCATGAGAGACACACACACACACACACAGAGGCAGAGACACGGGCAGAGGGAGAAGCAGGCTCCATGCAGGGAGCCCAACGTGGGACTCGATCCCGGGACCCCAGGATCAAGCCCTGGGCCGAAGGCTAGCATTAAACCACTGAGCTACCTGGGCTGCCCTGGAGAGAGACTTTGGACAGGGAATCAGCTCTGAGGATGAGGGCCCAAGATGACCCCTCCCCCCCTCCCAGCCTGTTCAAGAACACAGGTGGAAAAACTGGGGACCCGCAGCATCTGTTTGGCCCCCAAAGTATTATTTTTTTAAACTTGAGTAAATGGTACACCCATATAGTGATAGCCAGTGTAGCCATAAACAAGAATGATGAAACTCTTTATATGTTGGTATGGAATGATTTCCAAGATTTACTGTTAAGTAAAAAAAGCAAGGCGTAGGAAAAATAGTACACTACCATTTCTGCAATGAAAAAAAAAAAAAAGGAACTACAACCTCCTGAATTTGTTTCTACCCAAATATGCAGAAAAGTCTAGATTTCTTTTGAAAAGCTGGCAAACCTGGCCCCACTAGGCTGGCATGTAGAGTAGCCCAGTTGTCCAGAGAACCCCAGCAGCTGCTGTGTGGCTGGTGGGCCTGCCCAGCCAGGACTCCTTTGCTCATGGAGGTTCCCACCTGGCTCCTGTAGGTATCCGGAATCATGACCACCTTCTGGAACATGGCAGCCTCTCTCTTAGTACTTCCAGGCTGCCTCTGACCAAGGACATATCCTGGCTCCCAGCCAGTCCCCTCTGGCTTCCACTTACAGCCTCGCTTCCTCTCTCAGCTCCAGCGGTTCAAGCGCTCACTTTCCCTCAAGACCATCCTCCGAAGTAAGAGCGTGGAGAACTTCTTCCTTCGCTCAGGCTCTGAGCTCAAGTGCCCCACTGAGGTGCTGCTGACCCCCCCAACCCCGCTGCCCCCTCCCTCCCCACCACCGGCATCTACAGATGGGGGCCTCCCTCCCCCAGCCCCCTCCCCCTGCCCCATCCCGCGGCCCCTGGCACCGCTCAAACCGGTCAGACTGCACAGCTTCCAGGAACACATCTTCAAGAGAGCCAGCCCCTGTGAGCTCTGCCACCAGCTCATTGTGGGTAGGTGCCTGAGGTGCCAAGGAGAGGGGCCCAGGTGGGGGCGGGGAGGAGGAGGCCAGGGAACAGCCCCATGTCGGGCTCTTGCTATGCAGGGCCCTTGATCCTAACTGAGCCCCTCACCCTGTGCGGACACATGAGCAACCTTGGGGTGGGTGGGTGCCCAGGGTCACTGTTTACTAGCAATGCAGGCTTCAGTGCTAGTTGACATGGCGGGTGTCTGAAGGGTAAGCCCTGGGCCTCGAGGCTGACATGTGTGGATGCCCTCACTTCCTCTGTCCGATGCCCTAGCCTGCCCCCTTGGCCCCATGCCCCTGGATGTATCCTCCTTTGCCTAATCCTTCTTGCTGAACCCAAATTCTTCTCAGGAAACTCCAAGCAGGGTCTGCGGTGTAAGACGTGCAAAGTCAGCGTCCACCTCTGGTGCTCCGAGGAGATCTCCCGCCAGCAATGCCCAGGCAAGGCGGTGAGTGGGGTTCATGCAGGGGTGGCTGGCTGTGGGTGCCCCCCAGCACCGGCATGTGGGGGGAATGAGTGCCTCCCCTGATCCAGGCTGGTTTCACTCGTGGGGTGGTCCTTGGGCTGGGGGAAGGACAAGTCCTTGGTGGGCTGTGACAGCCTCATGCCCTCTTTCTGCCCATCTTGCCATAGTCCTCCTCCTTCCGTCGCAACTTCAGCTCTCCGCTCCTTGTGCATGAGCCACCCCCCGCCTGTGTCACAAGCAAAGAGTCCCCACCCACTGGTGAGTCCCCCACCCCTCACTGCCCCTCATCCCGCTGTGGTGTGATGAGAAACCCACACATTCCTTAGATGGGCACCTCTAGTTCTTGGCACTTCCCTTTTCTGAATGCCCTTGTCCTGAATGGAGGGTGCATTCATTCATTCATTCATTCATCCTTCAACAGACAGTTTATTGAACACTTACTAAGTGTTAGTCATTGTGCTAGACATGGGGACAAGGCACGGAAGAAGGTGGAGTTCATGGTCTAGTAAGGGAGCTGGACATGAAATGGATAATCACACAAGTCATCGATTCATTACTGTTCTCATGAATGCCCGAACCCGCAAGGATAGGGACTAAGAAAAAAGTAGGCACCGTCCCCATCTGCAGGGATAGTGAAAGTGTCCAGAGATGCGCAGGATGGCGAGTTATTCCAAGGGGATCTGGAGAAGACTAGTGCAGGCAGAGAGGGTCTGGGGGTGGGACGGGGCAGGGAATGAAAGTGATACAGGGCTTCCGGGCAGAGCAAGGGTGGCAGCCGGGTGCCCGGCCTTGAGGGTGGCTCCTTGGCAGGGGCCAGCGGGAAGGTAGACCCCGTCTACGAGACCCTGCGCTATGGCACCTCCTTGGCACTGATGAATCGCTCCAGCTTCAGCAGTACCTCTGAGTCCCCCACGCGGAGCCTGGTATGTCAGGCACCAAAGGCGAGCCTGGGGGGGCAGGGGTCTCTGAGGGCAAGGCTCCAGGGGCTGAGCCCTCCCCCCACCCCTGACTTGTCCCCAGAGTGAGCGGGATGAGCTGACTGAGGATGGGGAAGGCAGCATCCGCAGCTCAGAGGAGGGCCCTGGAGACAGTGGTGAGTGGAGGCGGGCCCAGGGGCAGGAATGGAGCACAGGCTGGCCACTCCCTGCTGCCTCACACGCTGGCCCTGCCCTGGCATCTCTAGTATTCACAGCCCCGGCCGAGAGTGAAGGGTCAGGACCAGAGGAGAAGAGCCCCGGACAGCAGGTGAGGTTATGCTGGGACTGAGCCCTGGTAGGCCAGACGGGAAGGGGATGTCACGTCTCCTTGTCGTTGACCCCTAGGTGGGTGAGAGCATGGTGAGTGGGAGTATCTGCTCCTTCATTTATCCTACGTCTACGGGGATGGGCAATGCCAGGGTGAGTACGCAAGGAAGGCAGGGGGTATGACCCCTCCCCGCATTGAGCCGGTGCCTGGTGTGCCCAGTCCTGTGCTAACTCCCCAAGAGTGGGCAGTTCCAGGGAGTAGCAGGCAGAGGAGTATTCCCTTTCTCCCTCCTTGACCCAGTCCCCCAAGGATGAACACAGAAGATAGAACCTGACCTCTCCTTGTCATGGACCCAGGTGCCCTGTGTCCCACCTCTTAGCTCCCCCGCCCAGGGTAGGCAAGGTCAGGGCAAGTGAAGGGGGGGTGGAGTGAGGAGAGTGTCACCCTCCCACCACTGACCCAGAGCTTTTCCGCAGCCCCCCAAACCCCCTCTGCGAAAGGACGTGGGGCCCATGTACTCCTACGTCGCGCTCTACAAGTTTCTGCCCCAAGAGAACAATGACCTGGCTCTACAGTAAGTCCTCTTTGTGGTCTGGCCCCACTGGGCAGCCACCTGGCTCCAACCTCAGGGCGCTGCTCCCAGACTTTGGAACATGAATGTGAGGGGGACCTTCGGGAACCTTCTCCTGGCATGCTTGAGGCAGCTGAGGCCAGAGAGGAACTGGAATGCTCAGAGTCCAAAAGGGATTGGTGCCGATGTCATATCTCCTGCCCCCCTGCCCAGGATCTGCCCTAGAGATTGTCTGCTATACCTGTGGTCACAGTGTCCTCCGAGGGTGTCAAGAACAGCTCCCCCAGCTGCAGGGGGTGGGTGGGAGTGTGCTGGGGATCTGGGGGCCCCAGAGGGTTAAAATGTGGAAAGGGCAGATCCCTCCTGCCCATTTGCGACCCCAGCTCTGTCCTCCCAGGCCTGGGGACCGGATCATGCTGGTGGATGACTCTAACGAGGACTGGTGGAAGGTGACTTGGCTGGGTGGGGAGCAGAGGGACCCTGGTAGGCACTCCCCCATTCCCCACCTTCAATGGGCACTGCCTCACCTTCTTTCCAGGCCCAAAGACCTCCCCTCCTTCAGCCTTGGGCCCTAGCCAAGCCTAGGACCAGCACTTGGGACTTGCTCTCCCTTGGACCCTCCCTGCCTCAGCCTGTCCCTCTGCTCACCTCATGCCCTTCCAAGTGCAGAAGCCACCTTACTGGGGGTTCAGATACAGGAAGTCCAGGATCTGGTGTTTGATGGCATTGACTCGGAATGGGCATCAAGTCTAGAAGAAGCAACATGGGAGGGGGTGGCACTGGTGCTCATTGCCAGCCTCATCCCCAGGGCAAGATTGGCGACCGGGTTGGCTTCTTCCCAGCCAATTTTGTGCAGCGAGTAAGGCCAGGTGAGAACGTTTGGCGCTGCTGCCAGCCCTTCTCTGGGAACAAGGAACAGGGGTACATGAGCCTCAAGGAGAACCAGGTGAGTGCCTGGGCCCTGCAGCAGCCGGAGAGGTGGGCGAGGGAGAGAGGCAGCAGGGGCACAGGTGAATGCCCTGGAGGAGGACACTTGTAGCCTGACAGCAGGAGGGAAGGCAGGTCAGAGAGGTGGACTGCAGGGCCCCCCTCTCATCCCCCGCTGGGAATTGGGGCTGAGTTTGGTTAGACACAGCCTGGGGGAGGAGAAGAGCACTAGATTAGGAGTCCAGAGGCTTGGGTTTGAATGTTGGCTGTGCCTCTGGCTTGTGTAAACCCCCCGATAAGCCCTTTTCCTCCCCTTAACCTCCCCTGTGACATGGGTGTTCGGCCGGGGCATTAGGCCAGCTGGTCTCAAAGGTCAGCCCCAGAGTGCTGCTCCAAGTCCACTGATCTTGCCACCGTGCCCAGTACCCTGATAAGATCTACTCCCTTCCCCCCAGCTGATATCTCCAATTTCATCTGCTCCTGGTCCCATCATCCCCTGGGGTGGCCCCCTGGGAGCCCTCAGCAGGACTCAGGGCCAGGGCTGTAGGCAGAGCCAGGACTCAGCTCGCATCTCTCCCACTCAGATCTGTGTGGGCGTGGGCAGGAGCAAGGATGCTGACGGTTTCATTCGCGTCAGCAGCGGCAAGAAGCGGGGCCTGGTGCCAGCCGACGCCCTGACCGAGATCTGAGCGGAGCCCAGAGAACCCAGCTGCCACCCCTGCCCATGCCTGGCCCTTGCTTCTGGCCCCGGGAACAGGAACAGGCATCAGCCCACACTCTTCCTCCCTCCACCTTTCCTAGGGGCCACTCCCCATGACTCGGGAGCCTTCTGCACGGAGGAAGGTTTTATTTTTGGGATCCCAAGGTACCCCGAGGGGCTTGCTCCCCTGGACTTAAGGGTGAGGGAGGAGGGGACAGTGGGAGGGAACAGGGAAGCTCCAGGTAGGTCCAGCCACTGCCCAGACCCCACTCCCCAGTTGCCATGCTGAGTGCAGCCCTGGGGACGGGGGTGTTCCTGGGGAACTCTCCTGCTGCTTTGTCCAGAGGGCCTTTCCACTTCCCATGTCCACACCACCTTTGCATGCCTGACACCACTGCCCTCTCCCCGCGGAGCCCCTGCTTGGGTCTATGTGCCTGTGACCCTGCGGCTGTCCCTTTGGAAGGAAGTGGGGCCGAGTGCCTCAGCCCTCCGCCCCAGGGGGGTTAGGGGGCGGTGGGAGGGGATTTAGGACTGCAGGAGGATCCTGAGTCCACCTGCTGGTTTCACCACCTCTGTCACTCCATCAATTCTCAGGAAAGTTCTGTGGGAATCTCTCCCATTACTTGAAACCACGGGCGGACAAAGGAGGGGAGGGCCGAGTTCTGGGGAAAGTGTGGTAGATCAGAGACTGTCTCCTCAAGGAGAACAGTCACCACAGAGCAGCCTCATGGTACCCTTATCCATTGGAGAGGGACACTCCAGAATGACTTGCACCCAGAAACCTGACTGAGAACAAAAAACTAGCCCATGCTTAGGACCCCCATTTCACTGTCAGGACTCTAGAAGTCCCTGGTGGCAGGAGGCAGGGCTGGCCACCCAGGGGAGCCTGTGCTTCTTCCTGTCCTGGGTATCACAAGGCCCACCCCAGGAGTCCTGCCTCAAGGCTGACCAGGCCACTGCTCTTCCTCGCCCTCTCCCTCTGGGCTTTTCAGGAAGCACTGGGACCCCTCCTTCAGTGCAGGGGACCCTTCTGACCGAATTTGCACCCTTATCCTGGACAGAGAGTCCTGGGAGGAAGAGGGAGTGCAAGATGGTTAAGGCAGGCCAACAGTTCTGTTTGACCACCAGGAAAGGAGGGGGTAGGCACCCTGGGGAGGGGGCGCACACAAAGAGGACCCCTCCCTTACAGGTTGTTTTTCTCTGGTGCCAACCTCCCTCTCCCCTTCCAAGCTCAGAGCCTCCTCTTGTGCCCTTGATCGTGCCAGCCAATGCCAGCCCCCACCCTGGGCACAGTCACACCCTCCCATACAGTGGGAGGGACACATCCTCCTACCCACTGGCCCCTGCTCCACTTCTCCCCCCTCGGAGGGGGGCTCAAGCCACACTGCCCTGTTTGCTGCCATGAGGCCCCACCCCAGCAATATCCCAGGGGCGGGCCCGATGCCCACTGTACATGAGGCTGCATGATGGGTCTGCTGGGGCATTGCTGAGCCCCCAGACCCTTAAATAAATGTTTCTTGTCCCAATCTGTGTGCTCTGTGTGTCTGCTTGGGAGAGAGGATGGAAAGGTGCAAGGACTGGGGCGGGGGCTGGAGGTGCCAAAAGGAGACTAGCCTGGAGGGGGAAGAATTTGTGGATCTCTGAGGGGAGGGGTGCTGGGGTTGGCCCGCACTCGCAGGGGTCCCCATGCCTTCCCACCCCCTCCCACCTCAGCAGCCTGAGATGGGGATCTGGGGAGGAGTTTAAAAGAAAAGCTTGGCAGGGGTGGGGTGGAGTGGGATGTCGCCAGACGCTGGAAGGGGAGAGGGTAGGGCCGCGGTCACAGTCACATTGTGGCTCGAGGCACATCTGCGTCGGCAGGGGCCAGGCACCCAACTATGCATCCACACAGCTCTGCCCACCCAGGGTGCCCTCCAAGACCATCCGAGATCAGCCTCGCCCCCGCCACCCGCCAAGCCGCAGGCAGAAAGGCTGGCGGCGGGGACAGTCGCCGCCAGTGGGGCCCTGAGATGACTCAATCACGGCCGTCATCGAGAGCCTGGCACGAAGGGGCCTGTAGGGCCCCCCTCCCGCAGCAGTGCCCGCCGCCCACCTGCTCCGCAGAGATCCCTCGTTCCCCTCCACCCGCCTGGCCGCGTCATCGCCAAGGCGAGCACGTCCTGCGCTATTTATAGGCTGAGCAGACCGCAGAGGGAGAGAGAGGCGGGCTGCGGGGGTGCCAGGGCAACGCCAAAATGCGGGGTGGGGGTACCGCCCCTCCTGATGGGCCCCCCAGTGTTCCGCCCTCCAGCCCCCCACCCCCAAAGCAAGATTGGCCAGGTAGAGCCAGACACCCTAGCTTTCATTGGGTGCCTTCACCCAGGGAAGGCTCTAGAGCTTGGTGGGTGAGCAGCGGGAGGAGGAGGAGGACTTCTTCCTAGGACCTCTGATGGGAGAAGGAGAAAAGGGGTCACAAACCCAGTCCAGTGGCTTAAAGAGAGGGGAACTCACCTAAATAGGCACCTGCCGTGCCTGAAGAGCCAGGCCAGGAACTTTATGTAATCCTCTCCATGACCTAGTGAGGAAAGTGGTACTCTCCCCTTTGCACAGATGAAGAAACTGAGGCACAGAGCTATTAGGCAGCATATTCAAGGTTATCCAGCTTATCCCTCCCAAACCTGCCTCTTTACGTGGGGACACTGAGGCCGAGAGTGGACCAGTAACTTGCCCAAGATCACCCAGCAAACTGGTGACCAAGTCGGTCTCAGAAATCATGTCTCTTGCCTCCCAGGTTGGCAAAGAGCTACTCCACGTCCACTGATGCCCTGAGCTTGCCGCCGTGCCCAGTACCCTCATGGGATCTACTCCCACCCCCCCCAGAGAGCCCACCTGGGTCCCTCAGTACCTTAACCCCACAAGATGGAAACGGAGACACCCCAAGATGCTGGGCTCAGGGGTCTAGAGATCGAAAGCCCACCCCATTGGAGAGAGTGAGAGCCTTTCAGCCAAGTCTGCACACTCCACTTGTGCCTGCCACCAGCCAGCAGCTGGCCTGGACCCCCCCTCCTCCCTGGCCCATTTGCCGCACTGCTGAGTACAGCAGCTTTTTCGGGTGGCTGAACCACTAACAACATGCTCACAGCCTGGGGGCTGGGAACAGCTGGTGCCCCCACGATAGCCTCTGCCCTCCTCTGTGCCCACTCTCGGGGTGGCTGGGCCAGCAACACCACCAGCCTGAGGCAGAGGATGCCCAGGAACCTGTAGGTGCCAGCTCACCATTTGGCTCTATTGTCTGACCCACGCGTGCCCTCCCTCCCTCCACCTCAGCCTGAGACTAACCTGGCATGGATGGTCTGTGGATAGACTGGGGAGATGCAAAAAGACAGGGAGTCTGGCAGCCAGAGACAAGAGGCAGAGAGACAGATATAAGAGAGGGGGTGGATGCACAGAGTGAGACCCCTGTGCAACCTCACCCGTCTTGCTAGCACCACCCTATTTGGCCTTGTCAGCCTTTTTCACCTCTCATCCTTGACACCGTCCACCCAAGTGCTTGGGATGGGCTGGGGCCATCTGCTGAGGAGCACAGTAGGGCAGCAGTGGACTTCCAGCCTCTGCTCTCCCTAGGCCTGCAGGAAGCTAGCCTGGGTCTCTCTCTTAGCCTTAGAGAGAGCACAGGGCAGGGGGCTAAGGACCCTGTCCCCCTTCTGCTGCTCGTGGCCCTAGAGCATCTGCAAGCACTACCTCCACGGCTGCCTACTCTGAATCACACCCTCCCACGTTGGGAGGATCAAAGGCAGGTGCTAGTGTTCACTCCATGCTGAGATTCTGGGGAGTCATTGGCTTCTCCAGGCCTGTTTCTTCTCCCAGAAATAGAACTGGACTTGCTTAGGGAGTCTTTACCTGAGGGCCATGAGCCCCTTTAAAAAATGATATGCAAAACTACTACGTGGTGGGATCAGTTGTATGATCTTGAGAGAATAGATCTATCTTCCCATCAGAATTTCCTTAGGCTCAGAACCTGGAAGAGATCCTCCAGTGCTTACTTTAGGGGATCTGCCTGCTAAGGGGGCCCTCCCTGGCCCTCCCCTGGGAAGGGATTGGAGGCCCACGGTAAAAAGATGTATCCTCCAGGTCTGAGGTGAACTTCAGAAGGAAGTGACTAAACCCAAGGTTTCCCAAGAGATAGGCTCCTACAACCCAGCACCCTTCTCTCCCACCCCAACTCCTTCCAAAACAACCCCGAAAGTAAGGCAGTTTCCTACCCCTGCAGCAACCTGTAAGAGAACAGCGCCATCTCCTGGTCCCTGGGGGAACCGGCTTCATGTTGCGAGCTCAGGAAGCCTGGTGGGGAGGGTCTCATGCTTTGGTAACCTCTTTCTTCTTCCTGTCATCCCTCCACTGTCCGGATGCAGGGGGTGGGTGTGGGTGTTGGGGGCATGGTGGAGGGGTGGAAGGGGGGTGGCCTTCAATGCTCTTTCTCTCGTGGTCCAGCCAGCTTGGGAAGGTTGTCCCATTTTCCAAGCTGGGAACTTGGCCAAGGTCCTCCCCCTTCTAGGCCACAGCCTCCCCCCATGTGGAATGGCAAAGGATGACAGCAAGAGTTAAAGGATAAAGTTCACACAGGCTGCTACAGTGGTGACAGGAAACCCAAAACTCAGGTTCTGATGCACATGGGTGGTGGTGAAATTTCTCTGAATATTTCTTACTGAGTCTGGGCTGCCCTGCCTTGGGTTACCCACCTGACCCACAGTGTCCTCACTGGACAGGACACTAAAGGAGGAGTAGGAGGGGTCTGGTATCCCCAAGAACATGCTAGTTCCCTCTTTCCTCTGCAAGTGCAGATAAGAACATCTGTCTAGCACATTCCTTCAAGTCCCTAGCTGGCCTTCACATTGCTCCTAGGAGAGGGGTGGAGGGCAGGGAGGAAGCCAGGACAGGATGCCAGTCCTAGCTGTGCCGACAACTAAAGGAGGTGGCCCCTTCTCTGCAACTTTTTCCCCCAACCTAGACCTCTGGCACTCCTATTTGACTGGCTGACACCTCCCACCTGGACATCTGTCCTTCAAACTGCTGCCCACTCAATATATCTAAAGCTCTTCTAGCCATTCTCCCTAACCCAGTTGGTTCCTCCAACCTCCTTCCATGCCTTCCTCCGAAGGCATCACCAGCCCAGTTTCCCAAAGCTTGAGGCCTGGGACAAAGCCACTTCTCCCTCAGTCCCCACAATGTCTACCAAGTCCTCTTTACATCCTAAACATCTTGAATCCATTTCCCCATCCCCAAAACAGCAGGCTGTGTGAACCCAGCACATCACTGCCTTCTTCATCTGCAAAATGGAGAGTACTCTTACTTTACAATGTTAGGAGGATTAGGGACACCTGGGTGGCTCAGTGGTTGAGCATCCCCTTTCGGCTCAGGGTGTGATCCTGGAGTTCCACATTGGACTCCCTGCATGGAGCCTGCTCTCTCTGCCTGTGTCTCTGTCTCTCTCCATGTCTCTCATGAATAAATAAATAATAAAAAGTTCTTTTAAAAAAAGTTAGGATTAGGGATCCCTGGGTGGTGCAGCGGTTTAGCGCCTGCCTTTGGCCCAGGGCGCGATCCTGGAGACCCGGGATCGAATCCCACGTCAGGCTCCCGGTGCATGGAGCCTGCTTCTCCCTCTGCCTATGTCTCTCTCTCTCTCTCTATCATAAATAAAAAAAAAAAAAAAAGTTAGGATTAGAGAATCAATGTTAGTGTCAAGTGCCTCACAGCCCGTGGCTCAGAGCAGATACTTCACTGAAGCATTTATGATTTTATTTATTTATTCATGAGAGATGCAGGGAGGCAGAGACATAGGGAGAGGGAGAAGCAGGCTCCCTGCAGAGAGCTCAATGTGGGACTTGATCCTAGAACTCCGGGATCACAAGCAGAAGGCACTCAACCACTGAGCCACCCAGGCGTCCCTTCACTGAAGCATTTATTATTACTACCAGCTAAGTGGCAAAATAGAACTTACTCCTGGTCAGTAAACAGGGATACAAATTCATTAAGCAACTCACAACCACTCTGACAAGTGTTCATTCCAATTTCTGCTGAGAAAAACCTTTTCCTTTGTGCCCCATGTGATGGGTATCAACCAAAAAACGGTTAATATTTTCAGTAATCTCTACACCCAACCTGGAGCTCAAACTCACAACCCCAAGATCGAGTTGCATGTTCTGACTGAGCCAGCCAGCCACACTTCCCAAAAATCCTTCTTGGGGGGACACCTGGGTGGCTCAGCAGTTGAACAGTTACCTTTGGTTCAGGGTGTGATCCTGGGGTCTGCCTGTTTCCTGTGAATTAAATCTTTTTAAAACCCCTCTTGGTAGGAAAAGACTTCGACTGCGGACACCAGGGGACAGTTGAGAAATACATTCTTACTATTTGTCTATTTATGACAGAGAAGCAGACATAGGCAGAGGGAAAAGCAGGCTCCCTGTAAGGAGCCCAATGTGGGAGTTGATTCTGGATCCCAGGATCACACCCTCAACTGAAGGCAGATGGTCAACCACTGAACCAC